AAGTAACACACAAAGTACAAAAATGATTAACAGACAGGAATTTTCCACAGGAAATCCCGAAAGATAACAACGAGTAATAAAGGTCCTTAAAAAAACCGGAAAAGACACAGAGAAACACGAAACATGTGAAGAAGCTGAGGTGTAATTAAACAACTCTAAGATGCAATCAAAAATACAAATACATGAAACAAGTGGCGACTAAATAAATAAAGAAACAAAGGTCGCTACAAGGCTGCAACCAAGAGAATCAGATATTAATAGAAAGATAGACGAACCAAAGAGAAAAGACAAGGTAAGGAAAACAAATTAACAAATGTTTAACCAAACGTGTAGAATAAATGAACAACGAAAAGATCTCGATTCTTATGGATAAATAGAAACTCGACAATGAACTGTAAAACCCCTAATAGAAAAAGGAAAGTCAGGCAAAGGATGAAGCAAATAAATCCAGGAAAAACATGAGGCAGGATTGACTTAAACAATGGTGCAGACATCACTTTGAAAGAATAAAATGTACGAGTGATGAAAATAAAACAATAAACAAAAGCAGTATAGACAAAATTAGGCAAAGGAGCCAATAATTAAACAAACAACACTAGGAAGTAAAAAAACACAAACACAGAATATACAAAACATCCAGACAAATAAAATGGCGATCAACTAAGAAGTTGAATAAAGGTGTAAACTGAATAATGGTAAGGAATAAAACAAATACATAATGTAGATAAAACAAAAACACACAAATCTCACGTACGATGTGAATGGATAACTAATGGGAAAATTTATTCACAGAAACTAGGAACACAACAGAAAGTAAAAACTAGAAAACCATAAAAACAATGGGGATTAAAACCCGTAAAAAAGGAGAAGGGAAATGTACACAGCTGCGTAAGACAGACACGAAAATACGAGAGAGACCTGGCCAAAGCATTGGCGTAACCATCACCCCTAGGTAATAGAATAAACGAAATCCTCAAAAAATCATTACCACTATCCACTACGTACCAACGTTATGAACTTACTCTAGGAAATAGAACAACAAAATAGAACAAAGGAAGACTCTTAAAAAACAGACAGAGAAGATAAAGAAGCGAGGGAATAAAACAACAGAAAATAACAAAAGCTAACCCCCGTTGATGTAACAAACTGTAGAAATCAAAAGCCATACAAAGAAACAAAAC